ACGTGCTGCTCACCGGCAGGTACCGCCCCACCCCCACCCTCCGCCCTCCGCCCTTCGCCCTCCGACACCGATCCTGAAACGAGATGCGTTGAATCCTCATGCAGAGAGATAAGTGCGGCGCGGTGGGCGAGCGCGGCGAGCAGCGCGGCCGCGGCGGACCTGCTGGCGGCGGCGGTGCGCGCGCGCGGCTGGCACCTGCCCGCGCACCACTGGGACTTCGTGACGCTCACCCTGGCCGGCCTGCTGGAGTCGCTGCAGCTGAGCGCCGCCGCCTGGGACTACACCAAGGTCCGCCTCTCTTCCGTTCCGCCGGGCGGGGCGGCGCGGCGCGGCGCTCGTGCTGTATGCGAGCTCGTTGTGGTGGGTTGCGCAGGTGGCGCTGGTGGGCGTGGCGGCGCTGCGGCTGTTCGGCGCCGTGCAGCGGTTCGCGAGCGGCGTGCGCGCGGAGAGCGAGCGGCGGCGGCCGGCGGCGCACGTGCTGGCGCTGGCGGGCGAGTGGGCGGACGTGTTCGCGCCCGCGCTCAACGCGCACCTCTTCGCCCTCACGCTGCACATCCTCCGTCAGTCTCTGCCTTATGTTAATTTTTGTTTGTTGTCTCCCGTGCATTCTTAATCCGTCGCATCGGACAGAGATTTTGATGATATTTGATCCCCCGGCGCAGGCGAGGCGGGGGTCGAGGCTGGGGGCGGGGCGGGCGGCGAGGTGGGCGTGGCGCGGGCGAGCATGTGCAGCGCGCTGGCGCGGCTGGCGGGCGGGGGGGCGCTGCAGTGGGCGGCGCTGGGGGCGGAGGCGCGGGCGGGCCCGCTGGCGGCGGCGGGGCTGGCGCGCGCGGCGCTGGAGGTGCTGGGGGCGGCGGCGCACCCCGCACACCTCCTGCTCGCCTACAATCTACTGCGGGTGCTCGCGGAGCCGCTCGTCTTGGCCGACGGTGCCGAACGTTTCATTATGTCTTTGTTTAACCCTCCCATTTGTTTTGCTACTTCTAATCTCTTGGAGCTCTCGATCGCTATTTAATTGAAACTAATACTGCCAATGTAGGCGCTTCAAAAAATTTTACTACGCTTGTATTATAGTTTTTTCCTATAAAAACAACAAGTTACCAAGAAAAAAAATCTGGTCGTCCAAAGTAGATATTGACTTTACTTATCCGTATCCTTATTCGGCTTTTACATAAATTCTGAGTAAATAGACTTGTAACAAATGTTGTAGGAAAAGATATAAAATGATATAGTAATAGATCAATAATATGATGTGTTTATTGGTTACAGCCGCGCTGCTGGCGGAGTGGAGCGCGACGGGGGAGGGCGCTGCGGGCGAGGGCGCAGCGAGCGAGGGCGCGGCGAGCGAGGGCGCGGCGAGAGAAGGCGTGGCGGAGCGCGCTCGGCCGGCGCTAGCGGGCACGCAGTACGGCGAGGCGCTGCGGCGGCTGCACGAGCGCCTGGCGCCCACGCTCGCCGGCCGCAGGTGCCCACATATATACAAATATACTCTAACGATGCCTTAAAAGATGTAGATCTTTATTTAATATGCAATATTATCAATGGCCAGCACACTTCTTCGGTAGCGTAGAAAGATGTCGGCTACCGAAGGGGTGTGATACGTGAAAGAGCTCGTTGTGTTGCAGCGTGTGCTCCAGCTGGGCCGAGGCGGCGCAGTCGGGCGCGGGCGAGGGCGTGGGCGCGGGCGAGGGCGAGGGCGCGAGCGAGGGCGTGGGCGCGGGCGAGGGCGAGGCGCGCGTCGCCGCCGCCTTCCTGCTGCTGCACGCGGCCGTGTACGAGCTGGGCCGGCTGGCGCGGCAGGACCTCGCCGTGCACTACGTCGACTTCTTCCGGTCGGCGACACTAAACCGTTCAATAGTTATCTCGTCGCGCGACATCTACACGACATTTTCGTAACGTGAACAAAGTGTACAGCGATCTCTGAACGATTCCGCCGCAGAGAGTTGTATAGTCAGCGTCATATAGATCGTCACAGACAAGATATGCAAATATATAGGTACATCAAAAGTAATCAATTATATCGGTACAACAAAAGTCCTCAAAATAATAGATACATTCACCCTGCTCAAATACATCGGTACATACACAGCGTCAAATATATGAGTACATGCAAGATGCTCATAAATATCGTAGCAGCCACAGCGTCATAAGTAACGAAGCAGTCAAGGTGCGCAAAAATATCGGTACATTTGACAAAATTGAACTCTATCTCTATATACTTGTGATACAATTTGGAATAAACTACTTCTGTTACATTCATTTGACACTTTGTATTAACATTATAGGTTGTCCGGAAAGTTCGTTCTGATTTTCGATATAAAGCTTACAATAGACTGTAGCTGAAGTGGATTCATTTTCGGATTTTCACCATTATCAAACGTCACAAAAATTTCTATATTGTGAATAATTTCATTTCATTGGTTGAGATAAAAACTAATTTTTAAAATTTTATCCAATAATAAAAGACGTTTTAGGTATAGAGTCGTACCAATA